GCAGGCGGGAGAGGCTCCCCGCTGGGCTCCAGGATCACCTATGAGAGGCTATGGCTAGCAGGAGAGGTTCCCATGCTCCAGCAAGGATCTGAGCAGCAATCTGAGAGGTTCCCAGCTCTGCTTCCAGCTCCTCCTATAAGAGGCCAGGCAGATAAACGTGAGGCAGGGGCTCCTGGAAGGTCAAGACCCCTAACAGCTTGGCACTGTACCAGCACTGGTGTCTGTGTGGTAGAGCTTCTGTCTATCACATGGGAGATTAGAATTCAAGTCCCAGCTGGGGTGAGTGAAGTAACAGGGAGAAATCCTTGTTGCAGTAGAAAGGGACCATTGTGTTTTTCCTCTCCACCCCCTCCAGGTACCTAGGCCCTATATTCCTTGTCATTTGATGTTTTGTGTTTTGTGCCTTTTATATTTCGCCAACTAGTATTGTTTGTTCTGCTGTTTGTGTTTTATATTTTGTTAACCCTGCCTTTTATCAACTGGATGAATATGTCTATGATTGTAAGTGTCTAACCTTTGTTGAATCCTGTCTCCTCGGGGCGTTGTAGCATCACCTATATCCCCTGGTTTATACTGGTTATGTTCCCAGTACTGTTCTCTCATTAAAAGGTATATGGTTAAGTCCTCTTTGGTGGTCTGGCTCCTCTCTATAGGGGGAGGAGCGTCCCTACACCTCCCACAGCGCTTGTGCACCTACTCTGATCCCTTCAGTTAGAGAGTGGGTGCCTCTTGGAGTACCGCCCAGGTTACACATGTAATTAAGTGAATGGGATGTGGCCAAAGTACAACTCCTGTTCTCATGAGAGAAATGTTCTGTCATATTAAATGCCCAGTTGGTGAAGGCTATCATTTTGTGCCTCATCTGAGAAACAGAGCAACTGTGGTGACTGGGTCACTCAGAAGAGCATCCCCTGCAGATTCACCAATGCTACTTTTTGCAGCTCTGGCTGTTCTTCAGAAGGGTCTGTGATCCGACTACTGACCTTCTTTGAAGTAGTTTAATGTATGAACATAATGGAATCTCAGCACGAGCTCTTATGGCCATAGGCCACTATATCCTGAAATACAATGTCTTTAGTAAAAATTAGCCTGCCAATTTTGGTCCTTACGAAACACATTTGTGTTCAGATAATGGCTTTCCTTCACACTGCTTTTCTTAATTCAGCTGAGCCAAAAGCAGTGAATTTAGAATGCTGACTTTGTGATCCTATGGCAGCAAATAGCACACAAGAGTATGTTTCATGATGGGATCTGGCAGGAGACGCTAAATTGAGAGAAAAGAGAGTTTATGCAAGCTTGGGCAGCTTCAGAAGCAGCAGTAAGAATGGAGAAAATTATGTAGGACATTGTTATTCATGGCTAAATCCTTGCAAAAGAGAAGGATTCACTGTTCTTAAACAATCCCAGACAAATGGCCATCCAGCCTCTTTTTTTAAATCTTCCATGAGAGGGACTCTACAGCTTTCTTGGGCAGCTAGTTTCTTTACCCTTATTCCTCATAAATTTAGGAAGCTTATTTTGAGATTACTAATCAGAGAGTGCCAAGGGACACATTAAGATTACTATTGTGCTGGGCACTGTATAAACGCACAAGGTGTGCATATGGTGCAAGCCAAAGGCATGTAGACATAATTGAGCTGGCTTTAATCGATCTCACGTGGGTGCCTGTAGCTACATGAGCAGAAGTTCTGTGCTGGCAGCAAAACCTGTGCAGAAACCTGAATAAATACTCAGAGTTGGTCTGTGCTGAGTTCCATATTGAAGCAAGCATGTTGCTATAAGCACAGCTCCCAACTGCTATGTAGACTGGCTCAAAGTAAGAGAGAGCCCCTGTGCCGCAAAGCTTACAGCCTAAATAGACAGGAGATATGCAGGACAAAGGAAATGGGTGCAATGCACCAACAGTCCAAACAAAGTGCTAGTGACAAATGTTGTGGTGGTGCCATGACTGTTTCACTGTGTGGGATTTATTTAGGAAGAGATAAGCTAGACAAAAAGACAAGGAGTAAGATATGAGAAACAAGTGGGAAATGAGACTGGTGAAGAGACTGGAGCAAACAACCAACCTATCAGCAGAGGGGAAAGACTGTTGAGTCAACACGATAGAAAATATTATCTGTGCACATCAGTCAGCCATCACTGCTTCTGCAGCAGCTGCTCTCTGAGGAGGAGGATTTCACAGGTAAATTAAGGTACAAAGCCTGAGTGTTTCATGCTGGGTGCCACCACATGATCACAACTTTGGACACTCAGTCAATTGATTCTGTGTCATTTATGCTGCCCTGAAGGCCACATTTGCAAAGCTGAAATGTATAGAATAGAAACACTGTCAGTGGCTCCGTCGACTCAAGTTGCATAACAACACTGCAGAGAACATGTTTGAAAAGCTTACTCCAACTTCCATATCAGCTTCTTACCCAGTTATTCCAGCCAAGAGAACGTCATCATAATAGTTAGAATCTGATTTAAACCCACAAAAGGTACATAGATTGGAATCCTAGTTCAATTCTAGATTCTGATTCTAGTCTAATGTAGTCTACATCCCCTTTGTATTGTAATGGGCTAGATTTCAGCTGCTGCAAACTGGAATAGACCCACTGATCTTGTTGTCCCCAACGGACAGTGTGAGTTCGTGCCCGGTGCGCTATTGCCAATGAACACACATGGGTGGAGGATCCAACTTAATCTTTATTGTTTCCAGTCTGCGCAGAGAGGGGTGCTTGGCAATCGTTTGCAAAGCAAGCACCACCGGTTTCTACCTTTGGGTACCTTTTATACATATGTTTGCAAGTGTATCGCTCAGTGATTGGTTACAAGCCACTGACATAAGACGTTCTCTACTGAGCATGTCTCTATACCTATGTTTTAGCCATGTAATTCATTTGCATACATATATGTTTCATTAACATACTTTTGCCCTGCCCAGGGGTGTCACTTTTAGCATTATAATGAGACCTTTTTCTGAACTTCTTGCTATCTTACAAGTGTCAGGGAGACATTATCCTGCTGGTGTTAGGGAGGCATTCCAGGAATCCTCCGCATCCCACACGCTGTGCTCTGCAAGCATCTCTTAACACACACATGCCACACCCCTCCCAGCATCAGTAAGTTGCCTTAAGTATTTAGTTAGATATAGTTTGCAAAAGCTAGATATACCATAAAAAAGATTACATAAAAAGATTACATCATTTATGCTTTCCTTAACTAATACATTTCCTTTGAAACTTCTTTAAAGACAATTTGCAGAAAATGGTGAAATGGTGGCTCATGATAATTTATTTGGTTTCAAGCCAAAAACCATTTTTCCTGTTTGTTGTGGTGAGTGTTTTCAAATTCATTTCCACAGTAGATCTGACCACTTTATAAGAAAAGGTGAGGCAGCGTTTCTTACTGGTGCTATAGGAGGGCTCATTTCTTCCTGCATTAGTGCAAAGGGGAAGGAAAAGAAGCAAATGGCCAATCATTTCAACCAATTATGCAAAACACTTTATAAAAATTCTCCGTCAGCCATAGCTCAGTGTTGTTTTTATGGGTTTTCAGTGTTTATTATGTGGACAAGTTGCTTGGTCCCAAACAGGGGAGGTGCTGCTCCCCTGTTGGGCAACTTGTGACAAAAATATAATACAGGAATG